TATAAGCGTTTTTTGGCAATTTATTATTCTGCACAAAGCTAATAATACAGGCTTTCTACACACTACAGGGATTGAACCCCGAATTTTAGAGCCGGATACCTTAGATGTGAGTTTGGTCATCCTAATTTACATGTAAAATGAAATTTTAATTTCCTTCCAGATCTTTAAAAAAGGGAACTATAAAATTTTAATTTCCTTCCAGATCTTTAAAAAAGGGAACTATAAAATTTTAATTTCCTTTCAGATCTTTAAAAAAGGGAACTATAAAATTTTAATTTCCTTTCAGATCTTTAAAAAAGGGAACTATAAAATTTTAATTTCCTTCCAGATCTTTAAAAAAGGGAACTATAAAATTTTAATTTCCTTCCAGATCTTTAAAAAAGGGAACTATAAAATTTTAATTTCCTTCCAGATCTTTAAAAAAGGGAACTATAAAATTTTAATTTCCTTTCAGATCTTTAAAAAAGGGAACTATAAAATTTTAATTTCCTTCCAGATCTTTAAAAAAGGGAACTATAAAATTTTAATTTCCTTTTAGATCTTTAAAAAAGGGAACTATAAAATTTACTAGACCATTTCTTCATCATACCACCTGATAAAGAAGAAAAAAACATGAAGACAAAAAGGATAAAATTATTACCACTACTAAGGCGAACATGTTCGGTGTGGCAGGGATTCGAACATGTCGGTCCTCTGATTAAAATAAAGTCACTTTAATAGGGCAATAAACATGCGATAAAATACTTTATTTGTTATCACCATACAGTACAAGGTTTATTTTATCTCAGTCCAAGTTAGCAAGTCAAGTCTTCAGCTTGGAGGTCTGGAACTCGTCTCCCAGCAAGATTAGGAGGCTCTTTGCACGTGACAGTTCGTGCCATTCCACTGGCATCAATGACCTTTTCTTTCCAGTGAGGTATCATCCAAGCTAGGCGACAGTCACATGTAAAGGGTAAACCTAAAAACAAGGACGTTCTTTGTATATTTTATCATATATTGTGTAATAAAATTTTCGAGAGTGAAATTCAATAGCTTCGAATGAGGAATTAAGTACGAGTGTCATTATAGGCTTAATATCAAGAATAAACTTTTATTGTTAATTGTAACGTTTCAAATGGGCCATATGCGTTGTACCCATTGTAGGGATTCGATCCAAACTTTTAGCATATAAACCATCAATCCCGTCCACGAACGTACTCGCCTTTTCAGCCGTGGAGGCGTTATAATGTGACGGTCAATCCCATTATTCTTTGGTTAAGAGTATATTAAAGAGTTGGCAGTGAACGGTGCTGACTAGCTGCCTTCCTTTTGGTCTACTAGAAAAATCGTCTGCTTTCTGTAACTTACCTTCGCAACTGTTAATTTTTTCTGTCCTAGTGTAATGAAGAAGGAGATACATTAAGATAATATCTTAGAACCCTCTATGCGAATGGTTTCCAAACCCTTTTCTCTAGCGACACCCTAAAACAATTACTTTGATTTGTACCATACCCCTGCTGCCACATGCAGTATTTGTTTTGTATAGTTTTTTTATCCTCTTAATTATTCTTCGTGTGGTGAAACTCGCGACACACTTGCTGTTATGATATTTTAGTTCATGCTCACGTTCCGTATAATATACAATATAATATATATCCCATATATATATATATAATATTATATAATATGTCAAGATTTCTTTATCTTATTTTTAGTTTTTGAGAGAAAATATACACCTACCAATTACACTAAGTCTATTAAGTGACGTGAAGATTGGAGAAAATACACCTACCAATTACAATAAGTCTATCAAGTGACGTGAAGATTGGAGAAAATACACCTATCAATTACACTAAGTTTATTAAGTGACGTGAATATTGGAGAAAATACACCTACCAATTACAATAAGTCTATCAAGTGACGTGAAGATTGGAGAAAATACACCTACCAATTACAATAAGTCTATCAAGTGACGTGAAGATTGGAGAAAATACACCTACCAATCACAATGAGTCTATCAAGTGACGTGAAGATTGGTTTGAAGGTTTCTTCGGTTAACACGGATATTTGATTGATGGAAATATCGACCGATTTCAGTTTGAACATATCTGTAAACAGATCTTCCGGAAGAAAACTTATCTGGTTTCGGCTGTTAAAAAAAAAAAGAGAGAGTAAATAGAAATATTGGTTAAATGATCAGATAGTTTTATTTTGTGTTCTATTCACCGAGGTGACACATACTTTTATTGTATTATTATTATTATAAGAGATTTAGGAGTAAACTAAACACCATTTAGTGTGTATCACCACTTCAAACTATCATTAAGTCAACAAGTAGTTTATTTTGTATCCGGCAGGTGGGTGTCCACTTTAATACTAGACAACTTTTTTCGTCACTCGATATTTTGTTGTTATATGATAAGATTGATTGCTGAAAAATAAATAAAAAGACAATCAAGCGGTGGCGATGTTCTGGATTTTTTAAAAAGTTCTAAAATCTGATAAAAACGTTACGTAATGCCGTTACCTTGTGGAACCAAATCAGATCCTCAAAAGGTCTGGAACGAGATCATTTAGACATCTATAAATCGACTAAAATTGTCCAAACATAACAAACTAGTTATTACTTCTTGTTTATTGGACGAACTGACACAGAATAAGGTGGAATTAGAATAAGAAAGATTGATATTACTAATATTATGGTTTTACAAGTAAATGGTATACTTACTTCAAATCAATATTCTCCAGTTCTGGTGCTGGTCTTGGAAAGTTGGAACGTTTTATTTCTGTTAAGGAATTTCTTTCAAAGTTGACGTTTACCAAAGACGAAAACTGACCCAAAGGAACATCAGCCAGAGTCACTAGACCAGCAACTGACACAACTAGTGAGTTCATGTTAGAGCCTGAAAACGCTGTGTAAAACCCGGGACTTAACTCCGAAAATTCGGATATGTTGGAAATAAAAGTTGTGGATACTTCTGGTCCAAAGTCCACGGCTGAGAAAGCTGACCAGTCAAAACTACTTCCTAAATCAGTCCATTGCATATAAACAGAAAACTCGTTCTTAACTGATAATCCGTCGAAAGCTGATAAACCTGAAGATGTTTCACCTAAGTATTCAAGTTTCAAGCGTACTAAATATAAGCTGAAACTCTCGACAGAACCAAACTTACCAAAGAAACGGTGTGGTAAAAATGACATTTCTCCAGAAGTTATACTAAACCGAACTTTTGGACACGACCGAAACTGTTCATAAACGAGAAACGACGAATTATTATCGAGACCTCTGCATGAATAGAAACAGGTATCAATGTTTTCACTACAAGAACAAGGGTAAATGTTTTCTGGAGGAGGACACTTCGCCTCGACTGATACCCCCAGCAACAACGACGTCACAATGGTCATTAAAAGTGACCAATTTTGGATTTTCCTCAACATTTCTGTAACAGAAAAACATCGAAATTATAAACGATTTTTAGCGTGAGCTTAACAATATGTGTGTGTGTATATATACGCACCTATTTTGTATTCTATATCTAAAAAAAACACTTATATTTCAAAGCATCACCTAATGATAGCACTAATAGCACACTACTGGCTAAAATTAAGGAACAAATATTTAATACTCAACAAACAGATTTTACCTTAACCTTTAAACCCCAGTGTAATTATAACAGCACAAGCGAAGTGACATCGATCAAAAAGCGTAGTTTTACAAGTAAATTTAAATTCAACCAACCGAAAGAAGTCCTGACGATGTCCGCCCAGTAGAAACAACAACCAGGCTTCTCCCGTGAGTTTGTTTCTAAGCTAGTTCTTCGAATGTATTGCAGCGTGCACTGAAATCAAAACACGTGTCAACCTGTCAAGTTGAATCTTTTTTTTTAAACAACCGGTTGTTCGTATATTATTATGGTAATCAAGAAGACGTAAACTCTGGAATCGTGCTGAAGTTCCAGCCTTGAGCATTAATTATTTTAACATAACAGCAAACGCACAACGTTTCGACAAGGTTTTGTCATCATCAGGTACCTCCAACCATTATTAGTCTCAAAGTGGGTTCCTCGTCATCGAATTATCAGAGATGTTTTCTGACAACAGTAAAATGTCACGTTAAGAATTTTTTAAAAGTTAATTGTCTTCTTGGTTGTTCTTTTTATTTATTATCAACCCGTGTAAAATATTTTATGAGTCATAAAGTTACCACGAGATGGAGACGTTTAGCTTAAAATTATGATGCAACATTTCAAAACAGGTTCTGTACTCATCAGTTCTGCTAGCCTGAAAGACTTCGGTATAAATATTTGAAGAGTAGTTATATATATGTTTTTTTTTTTTTGTTTTAGAAGTACATATTGTAGGGTGTATTATATAACATGTTACAAGTATTTCGTAGATACCGATGGTTACTGGTGAAAAACTAGATCATAGTTCTTTTTTTTGTGTGTTTAGACAAGATTAATTCTTTCAGTTCACGTTGATGAAATATCGGTTGATATGGTAACGCTCGTGCCAAAACGTAATCCACGATACTAAGGAATATACCGTATTTTTCGGTGTATAAGACGCAATTTTTTACCCCCAAAATT